ATACATCCATGATCTTAATCAGACGACCCAAATAATTTATGTTTTAATTTTTTAATTATTGTTATTTATCATGCTTATTTATTCATTTTGAACTGATTCATGGCCTGATTTTATCTATTTTAATAACATTTTGTTCCAAATTTTCAATACTCCTCAAATAAAAATACTACAAAGAATTTGAATAAAATATAAAATTAAACAAAAATATATTAAAATAAAATAAAATAACACCAAATAAATACAAATAAATGAAACAAAATAAAAAAGTGTTAGTTTAAAGCACAATAAAATAAGTTAAATTTATGTCTTTTTTTTTCTTCTCTCTCTTTTTTTGTAAACGATTAATATAATAGTTATTTTAAATAAATCACGCAGCGCCGAACGCGTGTTCAAGACTAGTATGACCAAAAAAAAAATCTTGCTGGAAATCAAAAGGGAGAAGAAGAAGAGGAATCGAGAATAGAAAAACAAAAACGAAAGAAAAACCAACCTTTTGAACAAAACAAATTATAAAATATAGGGACAAAACAAATAGAACCTGCGATAAAAATCATAAAACAAACAAATTCATGAAAATGATAGGGGGCGTTGAAATTTCCTACCAGTAAGGTGAGAGTTTGTGGTAAGATTTGTCTTGTGTCCCCATTGAAATATAAAGTGATTGTCAATTGTATCATAGAATCTATCCTATTACCGTTAATGAACAATAATAGTAAGTTGATGTTATTTTTTGTAATTGAATGGCATGGTATAGTCGTCAAAATTTGGTTTAATTTTGGTTGGCTTGTCGAAGAAGAGGACTGAATCAATGAATCAGAAATCAAGATTTGATATTGAAGATCTCCTCCATAGCTTTTGTAGAAGGAATCCTCCCAAATTTGATCCCAAATATCATCTAATTAAATCAGTTATACTAAGGTCTATTATTCTTAAAAAAAAAAAAAAAAAAAAAATCCCCAAACAAAGGCTAAAATTTCACCCCTAAGTTAAACCCAAATCATAAATTAGTGTATTACAAACAAGACAAACTCGAAATCACCAAACTACATAAAAATTTTCAAGCTACTGTAGTGAGCACGTACAATATTTGCATCATTTCAAATTACTAGAAATTGAGCACGTAATATTCAAAGAAATAAAATAAAATTGTACCCGACTGTGATTACGGTAATGTTGGCCGAATAATAAGGATTTTAAAAACCTGCTTTCCCCATAGAGCCCTTCTTGCTGGATCAATTTATTGGTGGAGGATTTTGAAGAAAAGTTGGATGATTTAATATCTAATTTGGTTGTGGGCTTAATTGGAATTAACCTATTTACTTGAGAGGAGACCTTGTAACGTTGAGAGATAAAAGGGGATACTCTAAGGGAAGAGTGAGAGATTGTGTGCTCCATCTTCAGTAAGTGAAACAACCAAATAAGAAGAAGAAGAAAAAAAGAAGCAGAAAAGAACAAGAAAAGTGATGAGAACAAATGCTTCAAGAGCTTCCAATATTTATAGGAGAATGCCTGGTCTACCACTATATAAATTTTTAACATCAAAATATTTATTTATTTATTTTTTTTTTGCCCACATGTCAATCACGAATTTGGAATAAGTAGTAGCGAGAACGTTTAATATTTTATGTTTATCATCTTTAGAGACAGAAGAGAGAGAAAAAAATATATAGAAGAACAACTTGTTCTCTAATTTATCATGAATTTGGCTATTACAAAAGTGCAGAAAAACTAAAAGGAGAATTATAAAAGGAAAGGAAGCATTCTCATTGCTTATGAAATTACTGAAAAAAAGTAACTTGTACAAAAGGTGGAGAAAGAAAACAGGGTTTTGTTGTGACAAACCTCCAGCTCAGTAAAATAATAATAATAATAATAATAGTAATAATAATAATAATAATAATGAATAAGAAAAATTTATAATATCTGCAGCTAACTCAACCTTGTTTACAATTTTAACCCTCAAAACTCCTAATATTTGACCATAAAAAAACCACTCGAGCTTCACATTTTTTTACGGATAATTTATCAGCATATTTTATATAAAGTAATGTGCATCATTGTTTTTGTTTGACTGTGATTCTATTTATGTGGTGCAAATTCTCAAATCTCGGTTCCTTGGAAATACAAAACACGTTAAATCAGAGTTTGGTCCCAGCTTCGTGATATTAATATTATAACTTCTTTGATGATGTTTGTTTGAATGATTCTGCTTAGTTTAGGATCATGATTCATAGTTTTGTTAAAGTATTTTTTTTCTTATAAAACAATTAAATTTCAAAAATTAAAATTATGAAACCATATACCATTGCGTTATATATATATATATATATATATAACACGCTAATGTATGCATCACTTGTTCTATTAAAAGAGATTAATTATAAAAATTTCTTTCGAACTATGACTTTATAATACTTTATCATTCGATTTTAAAACGTAACATCTGTTCTCTTTAAAATATGAAACATTAACAAAAGAATCGTGGTCCGTTAGTGTTTCTAAAAGACATGACACTTGTCACACATATATTGATTGTTCTTAAATAATTTACTACGAAATTAATTTTTTACCCAACGCTTTTAAATTTACATTTTCCAAATCATCCTTTAATTTTCATAAAAAAATATATATTGTGAATTTAAAAATTATTAGTTTTAACTTTTTTTTGCTAAAGGAGTTTCAATTAATTAATTAATTAATAAGAAAAGTAAAATTAAAAATTTTGTTTTATTTACTATCATATTAAATAAAAGGATTTAACTTAACTCACAGTATACATATATAAATATATACTTAAAAGTAGAATTAAAAAATAGTTTTCTTTAAGATTTAATTTATTTTAAAATTTAATCTATTCTAAGAATGGATAGGATTACCAAAATATCCCTAGATTATATACCATATCTTAGTTTTCGGTTAAAAACTGTAACAGAAGGAGGGTTTTTTTGTTTTTTTTTTTTTTTTTTTTTTTTTTTTTTTTTTTTTAATAATGAGTGAAGATTAATTAAATGCTGCGACGTTCACTTTTCAGCACCGCAACATCCGATCGCGATTAATCACCAAATCTTCAATCTTAGATTAATCACCAAATCGCTATAGGATGATCTTTATAATAGGTGCCGACTTAATTGAGATGTACTAATAAGATCTGATATCAGTTATTTTCTCTTATCGTCTAAAAAAAAGAATTAGTATCTGACTTCTAATAATAATCTTAGCAAAACCAGCAAGAAAACAAATTAATTAACAGAGGAAATCAAAAGGAGATCTCAAGATGGACAGGTTCGATAGTGGGGGAGGAAGACGACAAATAAAAATGAAATTTTTTCCAAATTATGATTCTTGTAATACTTTATCATTTGATTTTTAAAATATAATATCAGTTCTTCTTGAAAGATGAAACATTAATAAAAAAATCGTTGTCCGTTAGAGTTTTTAAAAGACATGACACTTGTCACACACATATATTGATGGTTCTTAAATAGTTTAGTGCAGAATTATTTTTCTACCCACCGCTTTTAAATTTACATTTTTTAAAACATCCTTTGATTTTTATAAAAAAAAAAATATATTGAGAATTTAAAGTTCCTATACAATTTATTTTTATTATGTGTCATTTTGAAATAATTTTTTCATCACTTTGTTTCTGTTGAAATAATTTCTTTCAAATGAATCCTTACTTTATTTTTTATTATTTTTTTTCTTGTCAAAGACTCATGTACATTTTAATTCTCTTTTGATGTGCCTTTTTGAAATAGTTTTTCTTTCTTTCTTGTTCCGATTAAATAAATTAATTTGAATGTGTCCCTATTTATATTTTTTCATATAATGCTTATTATATCATAAGTGATTCTTGGAAATGTTTTTTTTTTTAATTGGCTTACTAAAACAATTCTTTTTTCAAGTATGTCTCTTTTTAACATCATTTTTACACAACCCATTCAATTACCGTTTTCTCAAGATACCTTTTTTTCCTAATATGTTACTATCACTATTTTTTTTTCCTTGACTATGTCCCTTTTAGGCTATTTAAATATTTTTTCACGTGTCATTTTCTACTATTTTTTATATGTCCTGCCTAATAAACTTTATCATTTGAATTACCCGCTAAAATATTTGTCTTTTATACATGTTCTAATTATCTATACATGTGTGATATTCAACCAAAACAAACATTTTAATTAGAACATTTATAAGTCTTTAATATATATATATATATAAAGGGCCATAACACTTCATCTTTGTCTCTAGCTTTATTGTAACCAGACATTTTAGTCTTTTTTTTTTCCTTTTGGATACCGCCTTTTGCTTGATTTATTTCTTTGTATTATTATATCCTAAGATGTATTCTATTAAAATACTTATTTCTTTTTTAACTTATTGAAAAAATTTTAACCACACTATGAAGCAACAATGCCTTTTTGGGGTCGGGAAATTATCTTATCCAATGCTTATGTATTATTATCAAGGCATTTTTGCTTTCGGTAATTATATATCTTCTCTTACTGGTGTATATATCAAACGAAAGAGAGCAGTAAAAATATATATTCAATATATACATCGTACTTGAACGATTGAATCAATTTATCTAAGGTACTACTATACTATTGACATAAACTCACAACTAAAAGAGATGACATAAACTCATGATTATAATATTTGTCTTGAATGCCTTTATCCAAAAATTAAAAGAAATAAAATGATGATATCTTAAAAATATTACACACAACTCAATTTATTCCTTACCCCACCCTAGTCTATATGGGAAAACGTATAATCAACTGGCAATTAATTCGTTACATGAAAGGAAATAAGACAAACTCTATATTAATAAGGTTCCAGAGAAATTGATAAAAATTTGCGCTTGCTTCCTGCATACACACGATAAAAGTTAAAAATATGATCAAAATATTAATAGCATATCACTCAATTAATTAACATATTGTTGAGTCAAAGGTGCATATTTTATAATATTTACCTTGACATAATTTGCTTTGTCCAACTTTTTCGCCTGAAAGAATACAAAGAAAAGAAGTTAAATTATAATAAGAGAAGTTAATATTTTCTTGTACGTTATCTTTTTGGGATCATTTATGGTGGAACTACTTTTTTAACTGTTAGATTAGTTTTTTAACGGTTAAATATGTGCAAATCTGTATTAAAAATTTATAGCGCACCGCACAAAATTACTCTTGCTGCAGATATGATCGTTAGAAAAGTAATCTAATAGTTGAAAAAAACAGTGCTCCACTGATAGAGCATTTATTGGGATTCCACCACAAAAAAATCCCTTATTTTTTTCTCAGTTTATGTGAGGCATACCTGAAAAAGTAACCATACGGTCAAGATTGGGTGAGCAGACAACATTAAATAACGCTTGAAAGCCTGAAAACATCAAATGAGCGACTTTATGTATCAGTCATAGTCTTCACATAAGGAAGGACCGGTTAAAGGGAAAAAAAATTAAAATGAAGAAAACACTGGATGAAATCTTTTTTTGTTTTAAATATCTATCAACTTGGTTTTTCCTTTTTTTTTTCTACATGTAACTTTTGCACAGTTGGTAAATTATCTTCTCAGATAAGTTATAATCTTATCTTATTTGTAAAGACAAAATTGGTTATTTACTTAAGTGATTCTTTTTTTCTTCCCCTTATCTGTGGGAGTTGGAGCCAATAACCGATCATTTCAAACAAATCATAACACCAACTAAACACAAATTGAGCTAGTTAGTTAATAACTTACATTAATAAATGAACCAGTTACAAGAAATAAATAGAAAAACAAAGGAAAAATTTTATAAGAATTCTTCATGAAAGAATTTTAGATTTAGGATATTTATACAAACATTCTGCTTTCCAAAACAAAAAACAAAAAAAAAACAAACATTATATAGTAACCAATTTAATGACAGAGAATTATAAAATTACCTGAGGCATGTAAATGCCAACTGCTATAGCACCACTGTAAGCTAACATCAAAATTCCCGTTCCAAGGATTGTAATGTATTTAGGTCCAATTATCGCCCCAAATGTTTGGATATTATACCTATAATGTTTTAATATTAATTTGAAAACTAATAAATATACCATCTTAAACATGTTTATAAGATTAAAAAGTGATTGATGTAGAACATTTTGAGATTTTGAATCCACAATATGCGATAATACATATAAACTTACCTCAAGTCACCTTCCACGTCTGTGATATCTTTTGTGAGGCAAGCAACCGAGTAAAACAAGGCAACAAAGGTAATAATGAAAACGTTTGGGGGGCTGCAGGGTGAATTGAAAGCGAAACATTAGATCTCTATAAAGAGTTGAACTAATGTCCACCTATTAATTGAAATAACAAAAGTTATACTTCCAAAATTTTTTGTTTTTTATTTCTCTTAAGAGAATACTTGTATCTTTTTAGCAACAAAAAAATGCATAGTCAAATAAATTATTTGTTTTTATGTAAAGTAAATGTTGAACGATAATTTAGTTGCTTCACAAGTTTTCTATTACACCATCTCCTTTTGACCATCAAATATGGCCGTGTTGTAATTAATAGATCTCGCTTATTGTCATGCCTGCATCATATGCGGCCTCCATTTGTTTTACAATCACTAAGCAAAAATATCTAGAGAATTAACATGGTTTTATAAGTAATTTATGGGGAATAAATTACTATATGAAATTAAGTTTGTTTATGTTTCTTAGAGTTCAGAATTCAAATTTCATTACAGTAAAAAACTTTAAAAAATAGTCATATCTAATTTTTTTTATTACAGTAAAAAGCTCTCACATAAAGTCACATCTCAATTCAAATTAAAAATTCGAATCAACGAACTAAATGAGCCCAAATCGAGTTATTTTAAGATGTTTTCTTCTGTATTCCACTTTTGACATGGTTCCAACCAGTTCTACTTATATTCTTATTATCTAAGTTCTTGTTTATATTTTATATACGAGTATTTTCACATTATTAAGAGTTGTTGAGATTCCTGTGCCAATTTCGCTAGGAGTATTACAGTCATCACATTTTCTCCTTCATTTTTTGTTTTTTGTTTTTTACTTTTTTCTTTCCTATTTAGGTTTTCCCACCTTTTACTTAAAGTTCCTATACAGTTTATTTTTATTATGTGTCATTTTGAAATAATTTTTTCGTCACTTTGTTTCTGTTAAAATAATTTCTTTCAAATGTATCCTTACTTTATTTTTTATTATTATTTTTTCTTGTCAAAGACTTATGTACATTTTAATTCTGTTTTGATGTTCTTTTTTGAAATAATTTTTTTTCTTTCATGTTCCTATTAAATAAATTAATTTGAATGTGTCACTACTTATATTTTTTCATGTAATGCTTATTATATCATAAGTGATTCTTGTAAATGTTTTTTTTAATTGGCTTACTAAAACAATTCTTTTTTCAAGTATGTCTCTTTTAAACATCATTTTTACACAACCCATTCAATTTCCGTTTTCTCAAGTTACCTTTTTTTTTTCCCTAATATGTTACTATCACTATTTTTTTTTTGTTTGAATATGTCCCTTTTAGGCTATTTAAATATTTTTTCACGTGTCCTTTTCTACTATTTTTTATATGTCCTGCCTAATAAACTTTATCATTTGAATTACCCGCTAAAATATTTGTCTTTTATACATGTTCTAATTATCTATATATGTATGATACTCGACCAAAACAAACATTTTGATTAGAACATTTCATCTTTGTCTCTAGCTTTATTGTAACCAGACATTTTCATCTCTTTTTCCCTTTTGGATACCGCCTTTTGCTTGATTTAGTTCTTTGTATTATTATATCTTAAGATGTATTCTATTAAAATACGTTTTTCTTTTTTAACTTATTGAAACAATTTTAACCATACTATGAAGCAACAATGCCTTTTTGGGGTCGGGAAATTATCTTATCCAATGCTTATATATATAATTATCAAGGCAGTTTTGCTTTTGGTAATTATATATCTTCTGTTACTGGTGTATATATCAAACGAAAGAGAGCAGTAAAAATATATCTTCAATATATACATCTTACATGAACGATTGAATCAATTTAATTATCTAAGGTACTACTATACTATTGACATAAACTCACAATTATAATATTTGTCTTGAATGCCTTTATTCAAAATTAAAAGAAACAAAATGATAATATCTTAAAAATATTGCACACAACTCAATTAATTCCTTACCCCACCCTAGTCTATAGGGGAAAACGCATAATTAACTGGCAACTATTTCGTTACATGAAAGGAAATAAGAGAAACTCTAAATTAAGAAGGTTCCAGAGGAATTGATAAAACTTTGCGCTTGCTTCCTGCATACACACGATAAAAGTAAAAAATATGATCAAAATATCAATAGCTTATCACTCAATCAATTAACATGTAGAGTAGTCGAAGGTGTACATTTTATAATATTTACCTTGACATAATTTGCTTTGTTCAACTTTTTTGCCTGAAAGAAAACAAAGAAAAGAAGTTAAATTATAATAAGAGAGTTTTTACTTGTACTTTATTTTTTGGGATTATTTATGGTGGAACTGCTATTTTAACTGTTGGATTAGTTTTTTAACAGTTAAATTGGTACAGGTCCGTATTAAAAATTTACAGTGCACCGCACAGAATTGCTCTTGCTGCAGATGTGGCCGTTGAAAAAGTAATCCAATGGTTTAAAAAACAAACAGTGCTCTACTGGTAGAGTATTTATTGGGGTTCCACCACAAAAAAAATCCCTTTTTTGTTTTCATTTTATGTAAGGCATACCTGAAAAAGTAACCATAAGGCCATGATTGAGTGAGCAGACAACATTAAATAACGCTTGAAAGCCTAAAAACATCAAATGAGCGAACTTATGTATCAGTCATAGTCTTCACATAAAAAAAGACCGGTTAAAGGAAAAATAATTAAAATGAAGAAAAAACTGTGATGAAATCTTTTTTTTGTTTTAAATGTCTATCAACTTAGTTTTGCCTTATATAGTAACAAAACAAATATTATATAGTAATCTATTTGATGACAGAGAATTATAAAATTACTTGAGGCATGTAAATGCCAACCGCTATAGCACCACTGTAGGCTAACATCAAAATTCCCGTTCCAAGGATTGTAATGTATTTAGGTCCAATTATCGCCGCAAATGTTCGGATGTTATACCTATAATGTTTTAATATTAATTTAAAAACATATAAATATACCAGCTTAAACATGTTTATAAGATTAAAACGTGACTGACGTAGAAAATTTTTAGATTTTGAGTTCACAAGATGCAATGATACATATAAACTTACCTCATGTCACCTTCTATGTCTGTGATATCTTTTGTGAGGCAAGCTACGAAGTAAAACAACGCAACAAAGGTCACAATGAAAACGTTTGGGGGGCTGCAGGGTAAATTGTAAGCGAAACATGAGATCTCTATAAAGAGTTAAACTAATGTATATGTATTAATTGAAATAACAAAAGTTGTACATGTTTTTAGCGATATAAATTGCATACTCAAATAAATTATTTGTTTTTTTTATGAAGTAAATATTGAACAATAATTTAGTCGCTTCACAAGTTTTCTATGACACCATCTCCTTTTGACCATCAAATGCCAGTGTTGTAATTAATAGATCTCGCTTATTATCAATCCTACATCATATGGGATCTCCATTAGTTTTATATATAATCACTAAGCAACAATATCTCGAGAATGAACATGGTTTTCTAATTAAGTTATGTGGAATAAATTACTACATGAAATTAAAAACAGATAAATATAGTGAAGATTAAACGTCGAATTTAAATTATATCATTCTAAATAGAATGTCAATTAGCTGCGCCAACGAAAACGCGATGTTACTATATATATATATATATATTTGCTAACTGTGACTCAATCAAATGGTTACACGTAAAATTCTCTCTCAAAAATTACAACTACTGAGCTGTAACTGAAATAACCACGTAATATTGTATCTCATAATTCCTAATAACTTAAGCTGTAATAAGAAAAAAAAAACACTTAAGCTATAAATTAATTAAGATTAAATAATATGCCAAATGTTCCTTTGAAGGAAAAAGAGCAAGATATGAAAAAGTAAAAATAAAAAAACAAAAAATTGTTACACGTACCTCCACTGGAATGGAAGTCCAAGGGAAGTTGTGGCGGCGTAGAGTACACCGGCATGGTGAATTGTACTCATCTGCATAAGTTGCTTTTGTTATTCAAATAATCTATTACCACTGATTTTTCTCTACCGTGTAGTATATGGCGAAGAGAGAATTTACGATGCCCTAACTAGAACCTAGAAAAAAAAGTTAGCAACTTCACAAAGTATACTCTTCTTCTTTATGCTAGAACAACGACATAAACAGAATTTCATGCTTTCTAGAATAAAGTACTTGACCTTTGTCTCATACAGTGTCCTCTAATCATAAACTGAATTTTACGTGAAAAAATCTTACATATTATAATCGATCTCAAATTATATTTAATTACATTTTTCATGCCATTTTTAACTTTTTAGAAGACCGATATTGTATTTTCAACCACCTAAAATGTAAATAAATTAAAATGAAATTTAATTACATGATTCTGGATTGGAGAAAAGTAATAGTACCAAAGAAATCGAAATAAGTGTTGCAATAGAAGATCCTTTGAACCTAAATGGAGGGGCAGAATACATAGTTGCCAATAGGAGAGTAAGACAAAAGGAACAAGTGGTGATCAAATTGGCGTTCATTAACCATAAAATCAACTGGCCTCCAATTACGGAAAATATCGTTAAGAACCATGCTTGTTTTAGTGAAAGATCGCCTGTCGGTATTGCCAAATAAGGTTTGTTCATCCTGACAAATAAGACATAAACAAAAATACACTAGACCATGAAAAAGAAAAATCAAAACAAACAAAAGTAAGAAGGCTTTTGCATGCACTAATTTTGGAAAAAATATTACCACTTTGATTCTAATTGTCAAGAAATTAGTTAAGATGCACGCAAGTCCTGAACGTAAATTAAAAGCACCAAGGCCAATATAAGATGGCTGTATATCCTTTTACTTCTAACCAGGAGTCTTTAAGGTTCCTTTGTTTACCCCATAGATACACAGCAAATTATATATGTAGGTATTTAGAAACCTTTGTTAGTGTGGTTCTTTTAACTGTTATTTTTATTAGGATTCAGTTTAAGTTTAACAGATCGTTTCAGTTCTTTAACAGCTTGTTTTCCAATATAATCGTCAAGATATGTGCTGCTATATATATAAGTACATATATATTTATATAAAAGCATACCTATCAATATCGGCATCAAAAATCTGATTAATGCCAGCAATGTAAGAGTTTGCAAGAATTATAGCTATTAGGCCCGGTAATGCCTCAAACAACAGAGACCATTTGAACAAGTGTTTGTTCTCGACCATTACTCTTGCAAACATACATCTGCTCAAAAAAAAAAAAAACAACAAAAAACAAAACAAAACAAAACAAAATATGTACATAGAGTTATATAAACTAATATGCGCAATTAGATCATTTCTTGTACTGCAAAATCACTTTTTTTTCCTCCTCTAAATTTCTGTAAAAGCTTACTTACATGGATGATATAGATACTTGAATCATTGCATAGGGCCTTGAGAATTTATAAAAAACAGATCCAAAACGTAAAATTTTGGCAACCAAATTTGGACCAGCTGATTTAGTTTGATCTTTGTCGAGGACGGGGTTTGAACCTTCAGATTCCAGTTGAGCGCATGCCTAAAACCATAATTAGTTCAAATTATAAGTACTTTAATTGAATGAAATTTGAAAAACTAACAAATGTAATCAGAATCACAACACTAACTATCGAAACACTTTTGACTAAGGATAAATTCTCAAATGGTTCTGCAAGGAAGCCTCCAACAACAGTATACTCTATTATTTGAAACCTATGTGGGTCCCATGCATTATACTTATATATATATATATTGTCAAAAGTTTGTACATAAGAAAAAACATGTTTTTTTTAAAGATAAATTTGGTAATTTCATTAAAAGGTCACTAGAAGGCTAAAATACATGACTGCACGAAAACTTTTTAAACGGGTTCCACTCACAAAACTAGATATTAGAAATGCACCGCTAATCTGATAATAGGGAGGACACTTCCCAAAAGTGTCTCTATAACATTTGGCCACGTAAAATCGAGTCAAAGTGAGCCAGATTTTAATTCTGTAATGGACCTCACACATACACACATACCTCATACTAGTAGCGGTGGGGAAGCCAACTGTTGGCTGCGGGGGAAAATCCCGCAGACTGAAAGAGGTGTGGAAACCACTCTCTAGTTGGAGGAACACACTGGGGGATGGAGAAACCATCTCTATTATTATAGCAAAATAAAGAACAAAGTATAAAAAATTGTACACAAATCCACAACTCCTCCAAGTTTGTCCATGAGTTTTTAGAGCCCACGGCCAACGAACACCCTCCAAAGATCTTGTAAAACCACCGAGAAACTCATACCTTCACGAGCCAGATCTAACGAAACACCACCTCTTGTGGTTACACAGAGCTCATCACATTGTAGATCGTTCCGGCAACACGCCGGACCTCCGGCCAAAGAGAAAAGGTCAGTAGAGAAACTTAGAGAGGAGGAGAAAATTTTAAAGAGAGAGAGAGAGTGCTGTCAAAACACTTTAGCTCTTTCTAATTTTATCCCATGAGTAAAAAATAAAATTGTTTTAAGGGATCCCACATTTACTTCATTATGGATGAAAAATGCAACTAAACAATTTTTCATTAATGCAAAAGGATGTTTGGTGGTTCACACAATTTGTATCATTTTCATTACTAGAAAGTCAGCAATTAAGCGTGTACTAACTTACTAATATGCAATTAAAGAAATAAAATAAAATATACCTGACTATAATTACGGTTACGTTGGCCAAATAATAAGGATTTTGAGAACCTGTTCTCCCCATAGAGCCCTATCGGCTGGTTCAATTTATTGGTGGCGCATTTTGAAGGGAAGTTGGATGATTTGGTACTTAATTTTGTTGTAGGTTTAATTGGAATTAACCTATTCACATAAGAGGAGGCCTTACAACAGCTAGATATAAAAGGTGGTACTTTAAGGGAAGAGTACTGGGTGATTGTGAGCTCCATGTATGGTAAATGAAACAACCAAGGAAAAATAATAAAAAGGACAAAAGCAAACGAGAAAGTGTTGAAAACAAATGCTTCAAGAGCTTCCAAATTTATAGAAGAATGCCATTGGAAAGTCTACTTGTCATGTTACTGTAAATTTGACTAGCTATTCTTTTATGATTATTATAACGGAAAAGTCGTCAAAAAATTTTTTTTTTTCATCTGAATATAATGATATTTTAAACGAGATAGGTATGAAGTAACCCTCACAATACAACGGCAAGAAAAATATATTTAAGTTTTAATTAGGAAGCAATTGTCATTTATATCTGTCTTATCTATTATAAGAAGCGCGGATGGCATTGAATTTTTCGTACTTCAACTGTCAGCTTTGTTGTTTTCAGGTTTATCTCTTTTTTTTTCTTTGAAGTTTTTTTTTTTTTTTTTTAATTTACTTTGCTTACTTGCTCTAAACCTTTTTTTAAAGTGTATATTTCAACCTTTTTTTTTTCCTTTCCATTGTCCTTAATTGTACTTTAAATGTTGTTCTTTTTTCTTCTTCTTTCAATCTTTTACATTTCATTGTTTCCCATTCAAATATTTTTTTATTAATTTTCTTCTTGTTTTTTTCTTACTTTCATAAATATTTTCACTTGTTTTGCTTGCCTGCTTTCTTTCAAGCACTTGTTTTTTTCTTTTTTAACTTTGCCTGCTTGCTTTCAAGTTTTTTTTTTAATTAATGTATTTTTCAGTTTTTTTCCTCTCCATTTTCTTTAATTGTATTTAAAATATTGTTCATTTTATTCTTCTTTTTTAAATCTTGCATTTTTCATTTTTTCCTGTTAAAATGATTTTTTTTTCATTTATTTTCTCTTTAACTACCTCATTTATTATTATTATTTCACTTGTGAATAGTCTCCAATACTATATATCTATATTTATAGTAGAGAAGATGTATATATACTTTCTTTTTTCAATCATCATTATGCCTAATATAAAATTTTTTTATTTTCATAGAACCATAATTAATTTTATTTAGGTTAAAATTAAAAACTTTCTAATAATTTAGAAAGTTATTGGAAAATTTTTTATGATTACCATTTTTTAGTTTGAAAATAATTATAAGTTGGATATATTTATTTATGTTTGTCATTATTACAACATTGTTTGCATCCCTTAAAAAACATGGTTAGCATTGATTTAAAAAAGAATAAGTCAAATTATTAACATATTTATTTATTACTTTTTATAGATGTAATGAAAAAAACGTGTTAGTATTGAAACATTACTTATCATATTTAATAATTTTAAATAAATTTTTAATAAACTGCAAATTGTAAAGTGAAAAAAAAAGGCTAATAACGGGACGTGTCTCAAGCTAGTTATTGTTAAGAAAAACGAATAGTCATAGATAAAATAATTATAGAAGGCATGCATGAACCATCATGACAATTAATCTAATAATGGAAGCGACAATAGCAATTAATTGGACTTGACAATTAAAGTACCCATGTGGCTATGAATATTAAATTATGTCTAAATAATTCGTACCTTTAAAAAATAGAAACAACAAATTTGGTAGAGCAGTTACTAGACAAGTCCCGACTGATCGATCTTTTAAGATTGTGCTCACAAATGCAACTTGTAAGGTGTCTTTAGAACATGAAAGGTAATTGAATATCTCTTATTTATTTAATAAAGAGAATTTTTATTTTTTTATGTGAAAGTATTAGTGAATATTTATGAGTATCATTAAAAAAATTCACGATTAATTAAGGGGCCATTAAATAATATATAAGTGTTATATATAAAAAGGATAACATTTAAGAATAATAATAGAAATGTGTCCATAATAAATTTAATTCAAAATTCAAAATTTTTATATAAAACATTATTAATACATGCAATTTGCTTTAAAAACATAACAATATTATCCGCATTGTTAATATAGAGATATTGAATAACTATATTGCATATAATACAATTATGTAGTAGTGGGACAAATCATGATTTTGAATTTATAATAATTATGTAGTAGTACATTTGCTAAAACCGCAAGCAAAGAGGTCCCGAGAAATATTTTAATTCAATTCAATTTCTCTAGAAGTAAGTTTACCGTTACTTGAAGGCCAAATGCTAATTAGAGAGTAAATATGCAGCTATGGTGTTTGTAGAAATTTAGTGAAGAAGACAATACAAAGGAATTTGGTAAAAGCTCTGCTCAGCCAAAGATTCTGAGATTAGGGTTTTTGTTAATAGAGTTCTGTACAACGAATTAGCAAATACAAGTGGACTAATCAGAGAAAAACAAATATTAAGGGAAAGCGAAAAACCCCGAGACGATATTTTTTTTTCCAGTTGAGAGTAATTAGTGGGCACTAAGGCCATAGCCTTGTCGTAAATTAATGCGTTACGCCATCAATTATCAACCACCGTGAATTCTAAGCCGTTGACTAAAAAGACGACTTTTCCTTACATGTAGTCATCAGACTGAGTCAAATTCATATTGATAACAAGCTACGCATGAGTTCATATTATAATAATGATTGCCAACGATTTTCATAACCATTTGTAAAATTTAGAGGACTACGGGTTCTAGTATAAAAGTCCAAATATTCAAAAAATTATTTGGGTTAATTGGCTTACTAAAACAGTTAATTTTTCAAGTATGTCTCTTTTAAACATCATTTTTACACAACCCATTCAATTACTGTTTTCTCAAGATACCTTTTTTTCCTAATATGTTACTATCACTATTCTTTTTTTCTTGAATATGCCCCTTTTAGGCTATTTAAATATTTTTTCAAGTGTCCTTTTCTACTATTTTTTATATGTCCTGCCTCTTATTATCTATACATGTATAATACTCAACCAAAACAAACATTTTTATTAAAACATTTATAAGTCATTCATATATACATATATATTTATGTATATATATATATATAGATAAAGTGCCATAAGACTTCACCTTTGTCTCTAGCTTTATGGTAACCAGACATTTTAGTCTTTTTTTTCCCTTTTGGATACCGCCTTTTGCTTGATTTATTTCTTTGTATTATTATATCTTAAGATGTATCCTATTAAAATACTTTTTTCTTTTTTAACTTATTGAAATAATTTTAATAATACTATGAAGCAACAATGCCTTTTCGGGGTCGGGAAATTATCTTATCCAATGCTTATGTATTATTATCAAGGCATTTTTGCTTTTGGTAATTATATATCTTCTCTTACTGGTGTATATATCAAACATTAAAACATTACTAATACATGCAATTTACCTTAAAAATAAAACAATATTATCCGCATTGTTAATATAGAGAGATATTAAATGACTATATTGCATATAATACAACTATGTAGTAGTGGGACAAATCACGATTTTGAATTTATAATAATTATGTAGTAGTACATTTGCTAAAACCGCAAGCAAAGAGGTCCCGAGAAATATTTTAATTCAATTCAATTTCTCTAGAAGTAAGTTTACCGTTACTTGAAGGCCAAATGCTAATTAGAGAGTAAATATGCAGCTATGGTGTTTGTAGAAATTTAGTGAAGAAGACAATACAACGGGAAATTATCTTATCCAATGCTTATGTATTATTATCAAGGCATTTTTGCTTTTGGTAATTATATATCTTCTCTTACTGGTGTATATATCAAACGAAAGAAAAGCAGTAAAAATATATCTTCAATATATACATCTTACTCGAACGATTGAATCAATTTATCTAAGGTACCACTAAACTATTGACATAAAGTCACAATTATAATATTTGTCTTGAATGCCTTTATTCAAAATTAAAAGAAATAAAATGATAATATCTTAAAAATATTACGCACAACTCAATTTATTCCTTACCCCACCCTAATCTATAGGGGAAAACGTATAATTAACTGGCAACTAATTCGTTACATGAAAAGAAATAAGAGAGTCTAAATTAAGAAGGTTCCAGAGGAATTGATAAAAATTTGCGCTTGCTTCCTGCATACACATGATGAAAGTAAAAAATATGATCAAAATATCAATAGCTCATCACTCAATCAATGAACAAGTAGTTGAATCGAAGGTGCACATTTTATAATATTTACCCTGACATAATTTGCTTTGTCCAACTTTTTCGCCTGAAAGAAAACAAAGAAAAGAAGTTAAATTATAATAAGAGAGTTTTTACTTGTACTTTATTTTTTGGGATTATTTATGGTGGAACTGCTTTTTTAACTGTTCGATTAGTTTTTTAACGGTTATATATGAGCAGGTCCATATTAAAATTTTATAGCGCATCGCACAGAGTAGTTCTTGCTGCATACCTGATCATTAAAAAAGTAATCTAATATTAAAAAAAATAGTGATCCACTAACAGAGCATTTATTGGGGTTCCACCACAAAAAATCCCTTATTTTTTTCTCAATTTATGTAAGGCATACCTGAAAAAGTAACCATACGACGAAGATTGGGTGAGTAGACAACATTAAATAATGCTTGAAAGCCTGAAAACATGAAATGAGTGAACTTATATATCAGTCATATTCTTCACATAAAGAAGGACCGGTTAAAGGAAAAAAAATCAAAATGAAGAAAAAACTGTGATGAAATCTTTTTTTTGTTTTAAACGTCTACCAACTTGGTTTTGCCTTTTTTTTCTACGTCTAATTTTTATACAGTCAGTAAATTATCTTCTCAGATAAGTTATAATCTTATCTTATTTGTAAAGACAAAATTGGTTATTTACTTTAAGTGATTCTTTTTTTCTTCTCCCTATCTGTGGGACTCGGCGCCAACCGATAATTTCAAACAACTCATAACACCACCTAAACACACGTTGAGCTAGTTAGTTAATAACTTACTTTAATAAATCAATCGGTTGCAAGAAATAAATAGAGAAACAAAAGAAAAAATTTATAAGAATTCTTCATGAAAGAATCTAAGATTTAGGATATTTATACAAATATTCTGCTTTCCAAAACAAATATTATATGATAACCAATTTGATGATAGAGAATTATAAAATTACCTGAGGCATGTAAAAGCCAACCGCTATAGCACCACCGTAAGCTAAC